CCCCCCCCCCCCCCCCCGCAATCTATACACATACACAAAGTGGTCCTAATTCTGTACAACAAATTTAGGAATCTTTCCAAAAAGAAAAAGAGTGCTACAACAGGCTATTTTATATTAACACCATAAATTGCTCTGCATGACTAGGTAGCTCATTGTAATAGATCTCCATGCCATCCATTTATGAAGGACTGGATTTTGGGTTTCATACTTCAATTCCATTTAAAAAAAATTCAGTAAAGAGCAAAAAGGGGAAAGAAACCCAGAAAGACAGGGCCATTTGGCTCTGCAGGTTTGAGGTTGTTTGAGAAGCGTTTTTGCTTAAGCACACATCTAGACCCAGACATGAGAGAGAGGCATCAGCCAAGCTGCAACTGTGTTGCATATGGGGAAGGTTGAATTCAGTCACTTTGAGTTTAATGTCTTAATCTTTATTAAGTATCAAATTGTCTCCAACATAAATTACATCCTGATTATAGCAAGTTTCAAGAAGTCATTTAAAGACAAACTTTTTATATATATACAAGCACACATATATAATATCTTTGTCTCGAGTCTAACAAATATAGTAACTTTTGTTGTCAGATTTTTAAACTTTATAAACAAAAAAAGCAGAACAGACGCACACATATACCCACAAACACAAAAGACTACCCAAGACATAAGTACTAAATAAGCATTAAAAAAAAGGTAACATATAGAAATTTTAGAAATGCTCTGAGAATGCTAAAGTTAAATGACAAAGATTTTGATAGTGTAGAAATCTCCTTGGTTAAATCCCTCAGACCATTTCTCTGCTTCTGCGGATAGCACAGCAAAGGATCATACTGAAGATCATACCAAAGATCTGGAAAAGGAAATGGGGACATATTCAGTATAGGCCATCATAGGCTGGCTTTCTGGCAATACCTGCTCTCCCAAGCATGAGTATAGGCACTCCTGCTCTCTCTAGTGTAGAAACCAAACTAGTGCTTTATTCCCCAGGTCCCAGCCTTTTCTGCAACTATTTTAAAGGTATTCCTTATCTCAGGGCCTCCAACAGACAGTAGCCTGGAGGTGCCCTCTGGAATAGTCCTTGACCACCAGCACCCACCTGGGTACAGCAATGTGTAGAGGGCAATGTACACCCTACTTTAGGTGCATGAATGTACTTGACACCAGTTTCTCTATTCAAGTTATGAAAGATTCCATTAAGGGAGTACTTTGACAACTCTTATCCAAGTGCATTTGAACACTTTAGTACAAAACAGGCAGGTTTCCTCAATATCAGCATCCTATGGTTAAACAGACAGACAACAGATCCTATTGTTTGTGTTCAGCTTCTGGGCAGGATGGTAGGGGTTAAGATAAAAAGGCAGTGGTACCATGCCAGTGTAAGAACATGGCTAGGCTCAAAAGCATTAGAGCATGCTTTTCCATCAACCTTTTTTTTCCCCTGAAAGTATGTAAAACACAACAGGGTCCACAGGTGCAGGATTCTTCAGAGTACTAGACTGCTTACATCAAGTGAGAATGGGGAAGGTATGCCAGGAATAGGAGTTCATGAAGAGACTGAAGTCGTCTCAATTTATAAACACCTCCCCCCGCAAAAAAAACCCCCCTTGAAGTCAATGGGACTTCAGAACCTAGATATCTTCTTCTGCATCTGGCCCCTTGTCAAAGCTTCCATAATGACTATCCCATAATGAATACCTGCAGGGTGTGTACACACAAAGACAGACAATGCTATACAAGGCAGGTAAGGACCTTGTTACACAGTAATTTTGAGTGGCTCCTGGAAGTTAACCTCTGGATTGTCTATACATTAACAAGTGAAAACTAGTTTTAAGTACTCACTAAGTGGCTCAAATTTATACTACTCCAGGGCAGGATCTTCTATGTTACCCAGCACAGACGACTAGTACCTCAAGTCAGTGACCAGGAATGGCTGATCTTATGGACCAGGGGTGGGGGGTGCCCCCCTACTGCCCATCTCATTCACCAGAAAGCAGCTGCACTGCCTGTGGAAGTTCCCGACCAGCACTTGCACAGAGGGGGTGGGAATATATGCCTTTATGACATGACTGACTGGCAGCAAGAGGAAGGAATTCAGAAGAGGGACCAACAGTATAAACAAACATCTCATTTGAAGCAGTGAAGCACTTCAAAAAAGGCGTTTGTATGGCCTGTTCTTCTTAGATATTTGCCTACCCCACACCCTTTTGAAGCACTCCAAAAAGGACTGAAGCATTCCAGAAGTAGTATCTGTTTTAATGGACTTAAAAACAAACGTGTTTTGCTTCTTTTGAAATGTATAATAATGTATGAAGCATAACAAGGGACCCCTGGGTCCTCAGGCAGACCACTAATGGTCACTCTCCTGCCCTGCAATGCCCTACCTACCAGATCTGGGAGACTACAGACTGTCATGTGGTCCCCACCACTTGAACCAGAAAGACACACAGGGACTGGGGGACTGAAGTGCCAGCTCCAGAAGCAAGGGGATGTCACAGTAATGGAGGCAGGTGCAGCAACCTTTCTTGGTTCCAGTTTCTGGATATGACTGGCTGGGTGAATGGTTAGTAGGAAGGAAGTATAAGGTGTTTTAGATGCAAAGTCTGCTTCAATGGTGGACCACAATTCAACTGACTAAGGCCTGCTTTTA